CCGGTGGGTTAGACATTCTGCTGCTAACCTCAAGGTCGGTGGTTCAAGCCCACGGGCCCCTCCGAGGGAGAAGGATGAGGCTGTCTACTCCCTCGGGACCCCTGGTGGTACAGTGGCTAGGAGAGGGACTGCTAACCAGGAGGCTAGCAGGTCAAAACCACCAGCTGCTCCGAGGGAGAAAGATGAGGCTTTCTACCTGCCTACCAAGTTACAGCCTCGGAGACCCTGAGGGGCAGTTCTGCCCTGCTCAATTATGCGGCTGCTATGAGTCAGGGCGGCCTGGAAGGCAGTGGTCTGGTTTGGTCCACTCCCGGGAGCTCAACACGGGGGCACTGTGAGTCAGAATCGATGCCACTGCTGCGGGTATGTTCTTCGGCCTGGTAGAGTCCCGTTTCTCAGGTGAGGGAACAGGCTTAGGTTGGCACCAGCCCACCATGGGGGAGCTCAGGTGGGAGTCTGTGCTGCCTCCGGAGCCTCAAGCCAGAGTTCTTTGTGGGGAGGGAGAGAAGCGTGTCGTTGGTAGAGGGGACAACGCCTCCGTCACTTCCTGTGACGCCAGCGGTCTTTCCAGCAGGGATTTATCCACCCCTTCCATCATAAATGCCCCTGGAAAGCGGGGATCAACCATGGGTAGCCACACCACCTTCCATGGCACGTAGCAGAGCCGGCATGCTGTGACTCTCTGGGAGGACGGTGGTGGAGTCTTTGCTAATGTACTTAATCCCGGAGCCCCTCCTCCCTGGCACCTTCTTTGGGGATGAATGCACCATGGAGCTCACTCTGGGATGCCAGAGCGGTCACTCTCCATAGGGTTTCAAGCGCAGCGGCCCATGAGAGCAAGCCATAGGAGGCCAAGGGTTGAGGTGCCCAGGCCGGTGTGGGTACGGGAAAGGTCAGTGCCAAGTCCAGGGGTCGCTGTCAGCCAGAGGTCCTGGCCACACCCAAGCCCCCTGGGAAAAAGGGTGGCCTGGCAGAGATGAAGCCTCTGGTGATTGTTGTAGCTGTAGAGGGAGCGCATCAGCGAGGTGGGCCCAGGGTCTCCTGACACCTGAGCATGGGTGACAGAGGCCAGCTGCAGCACCCTCTCTCCTCCCCGCAGGGTCCCTGCACTCCCGGTGAAGAACTTGAATGGTACTGGGCCAGTCCCTCCGGCACTGGCAGGTGAGAGGGAGGGGGAGATGGGAACAATGGGTGGGGCCCAAGAGGAGGCAGCCCGCTGTGGACTCCTGACTCTACCCAGGGTGGGCCCTGGGAAACAGTGACCTACCATTGGGCCTCCTGACACCAGGTTTTGTAGTCTTGGAAATGATGAGCAGAGTACCCCACAGAAGGCACCTCACTTGGTTTCAGTATAGGATCCCATGTTGACTATAGACCCTATATTTCAATATAGGGTCCGTTTTAGGTCCTATAGGCTCCCGATAGGGTCTGGGATGGGGCTGTGTGAGTGAGACTTGGAGGAGGGGCTCCCACGTCCCCACCCAAGTGCCCAACCTATGCCAGCACTTGCGGCCCTCTGGATTCTGGGTACAACCTGGAGGGAGGGACTTGGGGCAACCTAGTCCGTGCATCGCTGCTGCAGACTGCCCACCTGCGCATAGCTGGGGGGCTAAGGCTGAGGACCCCCATCGTCCACCCAGGGGGGTGAGGGGTAGTCTGTCCCGCCCTAACGGCCCCACACTCCCCCAGGGATGACCGGGATTCTGCTGTGTGCGGCCGGGCTGCCTGTGTGCCTGACGAGGGCCCCCAAGCCCATTTTGCACCCGCCGCCTGTGAGCAAGAGTGACGTCAAGCCGGTGCCCGGCGTCCCCGGCGTGTGCCGCAAGACCAAGAAGAAGCACCTCAAGAAGAGTACG